AGTTAGAATAAAGCACTCGGTAAGATGATTTAGGACTATTGGTTAACTTCTCATACAAGGAAATAAGTAGTTCTTGCAATGCCGTTGTGTTTTACTGAGCCTTGACTCTTCAATGGCAAGCTCATCTGGCCTGGAGATTTATTTAAATATCTCGAGGGCTTCATCATCGCCCTCGACGGGATTCGGAATCTGGTGTTCTGGGGAATGCTTAAATGGATAGGGGATCAGAATAGGAGTAAAATAATGAATTATAAAATAACTTTCCCATAATGTATCAAGATTAGTGGCAAGCACACAGTTGCCCATCTTTGCAAATGAATTAGGTCGGGAGAGGATTGATATACTTTGGAAATTATGCTCGTCCTGTAAATCAAGGTGTCTACAGTCCTGTGTTGTCAGGAGCCGACTTCTTCCCTCCTGATATCGAGATAAACAGTTCGAATACTTCCGAGAGTTCTGATGATATGATGAGAAAATGCTGGAACGGCTGTCCATCCTGTCTAGCGCAAAAGTGTATAGTACCTGTCATGGAAATTTGGTGCATCGAATGGAAATCACTGTAGTACCCTGTAACCTGCTAACAAAAAAATAGAAAATCTGCAATGCTTTCAAAGATCAGAGAGAAAAATCAGAAAGCTTAATGGCAACTTAGTTAGTCAACTAACGTCTCAAGTCCAATCTTTCACATACCTGAAACTAAAAGTATGATAATGTAATAATGTGAAACATAAGCAAAAATTAAATATTTCAGCTCACTTCCATGGAGAGCGAAAGTGTGTGGTAAAGACGTTCACGAGTTGACCCCACCAGAAGGTGACGGTGGATTCCTTTCGGCCAGCTGTGAATTGAAAAACTCTTGTTGACGTTGTTTTCGAGGCAATCTTGTTCGATTCCAGGGAAGACGTGCTGGGTTTGCGTCATTCATATGAGAGACGTCATTAAGGCAGGGGTGCCATTTTCACAACTATATACAAGCTTAGGAATCAAGAAAACTTACCGGCTTATCCCTAAATACTGTATATATGGTATGAATGTGATTTGATTATTTCAAATTTTATGTTAATCTAAAGGATTGACGTTTATCTGTTTGTGTGTTTTTATGTGTCTTATTGTGTTTATATGCGTACGAAGCCAAGTCAAAGCACTTAGAGCAGAATGCAATGTCTGTTTTCGGTCATCAAGACTTAACAACCGCCATTATTCGCTATATTCATATTTTAATCATCACTCTAACTAGATAACGTCGCACGTCTGGTCACGTTGATGGGCTTCATGTCTTAGTGTGAAAGGAAAAGAGAGGATTAAGACGTATTGAGAAAGTGACCGTAATTATTTTTATTTTATAAATAGGTCTTCAAGGCTACCAGTAGATCTGATCGCG